CTAAGAGGAAGATGTTTATCTTTTTATCTTTTGGATTTTTGGTAGGGGTGTATATGTTTTGCTTTTTTTTAAGATTAAATTTAAGACTTTTTAACTATGCTATTTAATTAGTGAATTGCTTTGTAGGGATTATAGAGTAAAAAGTTTTGACTGGACTGTTATATTTAGAATTGTATAGCAATATAATTTAATTCAACCAGCTAATCTCATTTGTGGGTTACACTAGCTGTAGCATTTTATATTAAATTTCTTTTCATATATTTGTTCTTTAAACTCTCTACACATCTCACTTTTTTTGCCTGGGTATGCATCCTAAATGGCCTACCCCTACATGTTCTAAACAATCTTGTGAAAAGCCTTCTCAATAGCTGTCTGCCAATTAACAGAGTAGGGGTGAGAATTTTGTTAAACCCTAAGCTAGTAAAGAAGTGAAGAGAGTTGTTTATATACTTAAAGCCATCGGTGATGGGTGTTAGATGCAGGGGTATTTGTAAGCATTGCCATGTTAGGACAAAGTGAGTTTAGGTTAGATGTATTAGTAATAGGTGAGTCTTTGTATTACATAGAGTTATTCAGAGGTTGGTGCCTTAATTATTTGTTGTACTTGATGTAAATGGCAAGCAGTGGTGTGGAAGAGGGAGGAGCTGTTAGGAAAGATATTGAAGGAAAAGCGTGGATCCCTTCTCAGTTCAAGATCCTTTGAAATGAAGGTAATGCACTATTGTAGGAGAAACTTTGATGAACACCCAGTTTCTTCAGGCATGTATTTTTATGAATCTAAATGTGCAGCTCCTCTGTTGAGACCAAACTCTTGCAAGAAACTATCGACTAACTTTGTGGTAGGTGGTGAGATGGTAGATTCTGAGTCACAGAATTTCCGGACAGTTGATGATACATTTGTGTATAATGTAGATTTGCCTGTAAGAGGCCACCTAATACAGTATGGTCAGAGGTAAGGAAGCAAGGACGAAATTGCAGGTTTGAAAGTTTGCTGCACCGCTGCTGACACTTTCCTGAAGCTTTTCTGTCAGGGGTAGAGGTGACTTAAACACAAAGCATTACTCATAGGATTTAAGGCTAGCTGATCATGGCAGAACATTGTCCCCTTTTAGGAGCCTTTTTTTTTTTTTTACCTAGGTAAAACAGCTCTCAAGTTTTTCTTTAGATTCTCTTTGCCTGAAAATGTGTTGGCCAAAAAACCCAAACAAACCAAAACAACAACAACAACAACAAAAAAAACAGTGACCTTTTTGCATGTCTCAAATAATATATATTTGGTAATAAAAGTAGAATAACTGATATTAGAAAAGTTAGTTGGGGCCAGAAAGAGGAATGTTTTTGTTTTGTTTTGCATTTGTTATGTAAGTTAAAAGGAATTTTTAAAAATTACCCTTACTGACAGTAGAAACACTTTCTAATGAATATGACATTGACATTTGGCCAAGGTTCTTGGAAAATACTAATGACTCCAACATAGTACAGCTCCTTTCTTTTGGCAGTGGAGATGAGATGAACAGAAACAGTTTGATACTTCGTGCAAATATAAGAGTATAAAATTATGGGAATGTAAACATTCAGTCTTTTCTAACACAGCAGTATTGAGATAAAATTCACATCTCGAACATTGTTCCCAACTGTAAGCTCACAGTTGTACATCTACCAGCACGATCAATTTTATTTTATTTTTTAAAAATTTTTTAATATTTATTTTTTTAGTTTTTCGGTGGACACAACATCTTTATTTTATTTTATGTGATGCTGAGGATCGAACCCAGTGCCCCACGCATGCCAGGCGAGCGTGCTACTGCTTGAGCCACATCCCCATCCCACAATCAATTTTAGAACACTTTCATTACCCTCAAAAGAAAAATGCACCCAGGAGCGTTAAGCTCTGCGCTAACAAACCAGGGATCTGTCTTCTGCCTACCTAGATTTCCTATTTGGGACATTTAAACTAAATGGAACCTCACTCTCTTTGACCTTTTGTGAGTGGCTTTTTAACTTAGTGTGATCCCTTTTAAAGCTGCTCCCTTCATGTTGATTGCTGAATAATGTTCCATTCTTTGGACTCATCACATCTGTCCATTCATTACTTGGTGGACATTTGTATTGTTTCTACTTTTCCTGTTTATCTAAAAAATGCTGTTGGAAACATTTGTGTGTAAGATTTTGTGTAGACATACGTTGTCATTTCTTTTGGAGATATATATATATATATATATATATATATATATATATATATATATATATATATATTTAGGAGTGAAAATGCTGGGTCATATGGAATCTAGCCACACTTTTCCCAAGTGACTGCATCCTTATGTTCCTATGGTAATGCACTAGGGTTCTAATTTCTCCACATCCTTGCCAGCATTTTTTATTACCTGCTTTTTGATTATAGTTATCCTAGGGTGTGCAAAGTGGTATTTCATTGTGATTTTAGCTTGTATTTCCAACATCTGATGATGTCAAGCATCTTTTCTTGTGTTTATTGGGCATTTTTGTATTTTTTTGAAATATGTCTATTCTATTTCTTTGCCCATTTAAAAATTTGACTTTCTAATAGTCTTTTCATTATTCAGAATTCTTTATTCTGGTGCAAGTCCCTTATTAGCTATATGATTTATAAGTAGTTTTTATATTCTATGTATTGTCTTTTTCTTTTTTTTTTTTCAAGTCTTCATACATGTACTTTGGATAACGATGTCAATCACATTCCATCATCCTTGCTAATCCCCTGTCCCCTCCCTTTCCCTCCCACCCCTCTTCCTTATCTAGAATTCATCTATTCCTCCCATGCTCTCCCTCCCTACCCCACTATGAGTCAGCCTCCTTATATCAGAGAAAACATTCAGCATTTGTTTTTTTTGGGATTGGCTAACTTCACTTAGCATCATCTTCTCCAACACCATCCTTTTACCTGAAAATGCCATGATTTTGTTCTTTTTTAATGCTGAGTAAAATTCCATTGTGTATATATGCCACATTTTTTTTAAATCCATTCATCCACTGAAAGACATCTGCCAGAAAAAAACAAATAACCCAATCAACAAATGAGCTAAGGACCTGAACAGACACTTCTCAGAAGAGGATATACAATCAATCAACAAATATATGAAAAAAGGCTCATCATCTCTAGCAATCAGATAAATGCAAATCAAAACCACTCTAAGGTATCATCTCACGCCAGTCAGAATGGCAGCTATTATGAAGACAAGCAACAATAAGTGTTGGTGAGGATGTGGGGGAAAAGGTACACTCATACATTGCAGGTGGGACTTCAAATTGGTGCAGCCAATTTGGAAAGCAATATGGAGATTCCTTGGAAAACTGGGTATGGAACCACCATTTGATTCAGCTATCCCTCTCCTTGGACTATACCCAAAGCCCTTAAAAACAGTATATTACAGGGACACAGCCACATCAGTGTTTATAGCAGCACAGTTCACAATAGCTAAACTGTGGAGCCAACCTAGATGTCTTTTTCTTTTTTGATAGTGTCTTTGAAGCACAAAAGTCTTAAATCTTGATGAGTTCCATTTTTTTTTTTCTTTTTGTTGCTTGTGCTTTTATTGTTGTGAGAAACTACTTACACCTAACCCAAGGTCATATGGATTTATGTTTATGTTTTCTTTTAGGAGTTTTATAGTTTTAGCTCTTGCAGTTAGATTTTCATCCACTTGGATTTTTCTTGTCCTTCCTCCACTATAGTTAGTTCATGAGTGTGGAGTGAGATAGGATTCTACTTTCATTCTTCAGTGTGTGGATATCCAGTTGTCCCAGCAAAAGTGTGCTTTCTCCTTTGTTCTGTCTTGTCACCCTTGTCAGAAAACTAGACTTGAAGTTCTGTCCCACTGATGTATATATTTACCCTTGTAGTAGGACCACATTGTCTTGGTTACTGTAGTTTTGTAGTATTTTGATATAGTGGAGTGTTTTTTTTCTTTGTCAAGAATGTTTATGCTGCTTTGGATCTTTTGCCTGCCTGTGTTTGTTTCTTTCCTTCATTTCTTCCTTTTCTTTCCCCCTCCGTGGTGGGGACTGAATCCAGGGTCTCACACATGCTAGGTAAGTGCTCCACCACTAAAGTGCACTCCAGCTTGGCTTGTTGGTTTTTATAAAAAAGCAAGCTAGGATTCTGATGAGGATTTCCTTAAGTCTGTGTGTACACAGGCATGTGTGAGATGCTGGGTGTTGAACTTGGGGCCTCGTGCATGCTAAGCATGTCCTCTAATCTCTGAGCTGTATGTAGTCCCAGCCCCTGCCTTTAATCTTATAGATTTGGAGAGTATTGCCATCTAAACAGTATGAAGTCTTTTAATTCATGAACATAAGATTTCTATTCATTTATTTAAATTTTTAATTTTTATCAACAAGTTTTTGGAATTTCAGGGTATAATTCTTGCATTTCTTTTAAATTGATTCCTTTTAGTATTTTTGATGATATTATAAATGAAATTGTCTTTTTAATTTCATTTCCAGTTTTTTCATTGCTGGTGTATAGAAACACAATTGATTTTTATATTTTATCTTTGTATCCAGTGGCCTTGCAGAATGTATTTATTCGAATAGTTTTTTCATGGATTCTTAAGGATTTTCTACATATAATATCAAATCATTGCAATAAAGATAGTTTTACTTCTTCCCTTCCAGTCTGGTTACCTTTTATTTTTCTCACCTAACTGCCCTGACTAGAATTTCTAGTACTGTGTTGCATAGAAGTTGGTAGTAAACATCCTTGTCTTGTTCTTGATATTGGACATTCAGCTGTTCAGTTCCACACCGGTGGGTGTGGTATTAGTGGTGGGTTTTCATAGATACTTTCTAATAGGCTGAGAAATTTCTCTTCTATTTCTAGTTTGTTGAATGTTTTTATCATGAAAGAGTGATAGGATATATTTTTTAAACTCACTAAGAGTTTTGAGTTTTTGTTAAATGCTCTTCCAAAATAAATTACTCTTAAAAATGACTATTTATCTTTTTTTTTTTTTAATTTGCAGAAATTGATTTGCATACCAAATGTGTGGTGGATGTTGATGCAAACAAGATTATTCTTAATCCTGTAAATACAAATCTTTCCAAAGGAGATGCCCGGTAAGTTAAGAAGCAATGTTATGTTCAATGGATTTTTAATGACCGAGTTGAGTTCACTTGAAGGAACTTGGAGTGCTCACTGAGGAGACATTGCTGTCTTCAAGAGTCTGCTCGGGTGGAGGGGTCGCAGTCTGTGCAGGGGTGATGAGTGCCGGGATGTGTGTCACAGGTAGAATTGCTTCTGTAGGAAGACAGGGCGCATAAGGTACTGGAGCAGTCGAGGAAGGCTTCTGGAAGCACTGGGCTGGGAAGGGTTGGGGGAATCAGAAAGGAAGAAGCAGGTGGGTGGGAAGGCTGTCAGGCCATCACTCAGTAAGGGTGCCATTCACTTCTGCCCAGGCAAGCACTGTCTGTCCCCGCTCAGTGCTCCCTTGGCGAGGGCCGTCTTCGGCCCAGGGGTGCCTCTCTAAAGGCTTGTGGGCCATAATGGCGTTGTCATTCCAGGTTTGTTCCAGTTCTGCAGTTGATTTTAAGTCTTTGAGACAAGAGACTGTCAGAGACAGGGGTGAGCCCTCTGGCGGCACCCCCAGATCTTGATGAGGGAGAGGAAGAAAGTGAGTTGGAGAAGGAATGAAGAGATTAGTTTGGGTTTTCTTAGTAAATGGAGGGAAATTAATTTGATCAACTAAACTGGGATCAGATTACTGAAAACCTGGAAGGCAGACAAAGAAATTTGGCCTGTACTCTTGTCTGTACGATTCTGCTTCTGACCGTGTTTCAGTGTTGTGATTGAGGTGGGTGGAAAGATGGTTGATTGGCAAGGTAGAGATTGGGTCCAAGTAGGAAGGACATTTTGTGGAGAGACTGGCTGGGTGATGCCGTGCGCACAGAGGATTCTCCGTAAGCACCACAGGCAGGGTCGTGTGTGGCCCTCCACAGAGCTCCTTTTGAGTTGGGTTGAAAGAGCACTGGGTGTGGAGTCAGAAAATCTGAGTCAAATCCTTCCTCAGCTGTGTTGTTGTTTGTTATTTTCAACTTTTTGAACCTCCTCTGTTTGATGCCTGCCTTCTCTGTCTCACAGAGAGGTTTCCCCCAAAGATAAAGTTGATTAGTGATTGGCAAAGTGCTTTACAAAGTGTGTATAAGTATGTATTATTATCAGTGTGAGGTATTTAAGTATCTCCAGCTATGAGGACTACGGGATATGCTGTCATTAGGGTGTGAAGGGAAGTTATGTTAAAAATGATGCTGGGATCTCAAGGCTGTGGATGGGATGAGCTGTTGCTCTGGGTGACATTTATTTTGGGGGATGTTTGCGCCTCTCAGAATGCTCAGTGTGGAAACTTTTGCTTACATTGAGAAATGTGGGCAACTCAGCAAATCTGGAAGCAATACCCTCTGGTAGCAAGTGTGGGTTTTATTTATTGACTGACTTGAAGTCAGCTTCTTGCTGGCACAGTTATCTACAAGTGCTCTTTATTTATGAAGTGTGTTAACTATTTATTGCTGTCTAACAAATTATTTCAAATGTAGTGGCTTAATACAGCCATAATTATTTATTGTCCCATGGTTACTGTGGGTCAGGGGTCCTGTCAGGGGATGGCTTGTCCTGTCTCACACCCTGTGGGCTCTCATTGGAAGGCTTGAAGGTGGGAGTTGGAATCACCTGGAAAAGGCTCAGTAACCAGGCCTGGTAGTCGATGCTGCCTTTTAGCCAGAGGTATCTCTGGGGCTGTGTGCAGGATATGTACTCACAGCCTGTGGCAGGTGCCAAGGCAGGCATCCTGAGAGAGACCAAGCCAGGAGGAAGCACCTTGGCCTGTGTGTCCCAACTTGGGAGTCTCACAGGTCACTTAGGCAACATTTTCTTGCTCAAGGCTGGTGTAAAATTCTATACAGTTTAGAGAAGAGGAAACATCCACTTTTCAGTAGAAGACAGTCACTGTGCATTATAAGAGAAGCATCTGGAATGAGGTAGGTATTGTTGTGCCCATCTTTGGAAACTGCCGTCATCTGCCACAGTGTGTAGTAATACCTACCTGACAAGGTTCTTGTGAGTAAAATGAGCACACAGAAGCTAAAAAAAAGTATCCCTTGGCGATCTTCAAATCTCAAGACATTTGTGAAAGAATTAAATAGTACTTTTTGATTCTGTAGACTATCTTAGATGGCTCTTTTTTTTTGGATAAGAGGTTAATTTTTTTTTCCACTGCTGGGAATTGAACCCAGGCATACATGCTGGGTAGGTGCTCTATCACTGAGCCATACCCCCAGGCCCCGTTTTATTTTCCTCTTCCATATGCTGAAAATTACTCAGTGCTATAGATTGCTTTCTTAGATTAGAAAAAAAGAGAACTTTTTAAATTGACAATTTCCAAAAAGGATAGTATGTAATGGTTTGGGGTAAAGTTAAGTAAAGATGATTTAAAAAGCAACTTTTGGTGCTGGGGTTGTGGCTCAGTGTAGAGCACTTGCTTAGCATGTGTGAGGCCCTGGGTTTGATTTTCAGCAATGCATATAAGAGAATAAAGTTCCCATCAACAATAAAATATTTAAAAATATTTTAAAAAGAAACTTTTTATTAAAGTATTTAATACATATAAGGAGAAGTATATAACTTGGTGAGTTTTCATAAACTGGACACATTCCTGTAATAGACACCCTCATAAAGAAACAACACTACTAGCATGGCAAAAGAAGTGCTTTCTTTTTTCTTTTTAAAGTGTAATATCAAGGTTTAAAGAAAACAAATTTTGGAGTGTAACAGTTCAGTGGCATATGTTGATTTCATTAAATTTGGGGAAAAATAGAAAAAAACACACATTAAAAGTTTAATTTTTTTTTTAATATTTTATTTTTTAGTTTTTCGGCAGACACAACAACTTTTTGTTTTTTGTATGTGGTGCTGAGGATCGAACCCGGGCCACACGCATGCCAGGCGAGCGCGCTACCGCTAGAGCCACATCCCCAGCCCAAGAGTTTAATTTTTTTAAAAAAATTTAGTTTAGATGGACATAACTTTATTTATTTATTATTTTGTGGTGCTGGGGATCAAACCCAGGGCCTTGAGCATGCAAGGCAAGCACTCTGCCAACTGAGCTATATCCCCAGCCCTAAAAGTTTAATTTTTATTAATTAATGATAGGAGATTAATTACCATCTTGCTGTGGAGTGCCAACTAATCTGGAAAATGAATAATGACTTTTTAGGGACTATATTTATAACCAGCAAGTTAGAGATTTGAAATGAGTATGAAAGTGATTGAATCGCTTAAAATCACTAGTCAGAGTGGGCTCAATTTAATATTTTTTCCTTTAAAAGCTATAATATTATTGCTTTATGGTCCAATTCTATTACTGTAAGATGCTAGTTATATATGTACTTTATAGTTCAAGTTATGCTTTGAAATTGAACAATGTGAATTTTAAAACAACGGTTTATTTTTTCAATTTTTGTCTTAACTTTTGTAAATTTCATAATGATTTGACCTTTTGTTTATGAAAACCAACAGGAGCCATGGTTAAATCAATAGGTAAACCATCTCATTTAACAGCTTAATCATGGAGATTTGGGAAACAGTTTTGCTGTGCTGTGTATGGAATTTCAGAGCCATTTTGAAAAAGAAGAATTTTGAAACTGAGAAAATTGATAGTAGAAGCCCAACAAAATTAAGAACACTGACTTTGGGACCAGGCGTCCTGGATTGAATCTCAGCCCTACCTCCTAACACATGTAACCCTGGCGAACTTCTTACTTCCCTCTGCTTCTGTTTGCTCATTTGTAAAGTGGGGGTTATAGTAGAACCTGGTTATAGGTTGTTATGAGGATTGAGTGAGTTAGAATTTCTCTCATGGGTCAGGTGTGATGGTCTATGCTTGTGATCCCAGCCACTTGGGAGGCCAAGGCAGGAACATCTTTAAGTTCAGGACCAGCCTCAGCAATTCAGCGAGACCCTTTCTCAAAATAAAACATGGGGACTGAGGATGTACCTCAGTGATAGAGCACTCTATATAAAAAGTGCTGGTGCATGGGAACCCTATGGGAAGGTTAGCTGTTACTCTTTTTTTTTTTTCCTAAATATTTATTTTTTCAGTTTTAGGTGGACGCAATATCTTTATTTTTATGTGGTGCTGAGGATAGAACCCAGTGCCTCGTGCATGCCAGGCGAACGCACTACCACTTGAGCCACATCCCCAGCCCCAGTTGTTATTCTTAGTATTACTTTTATTATTACTATGGGCCTGTGTTTAATTGTAGGCCATGTGATTTTCAGTTATCAATATAACTTAACAAAGGTAGTAAATTTTTAAAAAACCAAAATATATTTCAATTCAGTGTTTAAGTGTATACGCCTATCATGAAATTTCCTAGTTCTAGAAAAAGTTCAGCTTTGCAAGGACAGAAATATTATTGAATTTGCCCACTGTTGATTATGTACTTAAGAACAAGTTTGCCATCTCTACAAGAGACGGACAGGCCTACCCGCTAGATTTATTTTTTCAGTGAATAAAATATTAATCTGTGTAATCCAGGCTTTCCTTTTTTAGTATCTACTAGTTTGGGAAACCAGGTCAAAACATTTCTTTTGAACATAGGGTAGGAACAGAGGGACCTTTTATCAAACTTGGAAAAGATTCATGATGAGCTCTTCCGGTTCCACAGCTCCTCTTTGACACATCCTACTTTAGTGGCAGAGTCCTGTATCCACGAGATCTGCCTGTACTTCTTGGGATCAGTCCTGGACACACACTGACATGTTGTATTTATTTTCTCATGTATAGCCACACTACATATAATACCAGTACTATTAAATATCTTCAAAATTAACCTTCTTGCCCTGAATCAGTTGCCCTCAATATAGTTTTCTAGAGTGATTCCTTGGGGTTTTCTAGATCTTCATTGGTAACATATTTACAAAATTTAAAAAAAAAATTTTTAGTTGTCAATGGACATTTATTTTATTTATTTATTTGTGGTGTTGAGAATCGAACTCAGTGCCTCACACATGCTAGGCAAGCACTCTACCACTGAGCTAAAACCCAAGCCCCTACAAATTGTTT